TCTCTTGGCTACCGAATTCCAGTCTAGTATCCTGAGTTTTGTTTCCTTTGGGCAGACTCAGGTCTCCCCAGAAGGATTAGGGAGATCTTGGTCAGTTGAGAATCAGACACATTGTGGTCTGAATCCTCACTCCACCTGTCCTAGCTGTGTGACTGTGGACAAGTTCCTCTGCCTCTCTGAGCTTCGTTTTCCTCATCCATCAAACGGGGTTAAAGAACCTTAGCTTGCAGGTGGTTGTACAAATAAGATGAGACAATACAGGTGAAGGGCTCAGCACAGTGTAGAAGTTCAGTAACTGGCAGCTATTCTTGATGTACAAGGGAAAGACACGGAATTCCCTGAAGGAGCAGAGTAAGACAATCAGCTCTCCCTGGAGACACAGGGGCCCTGGGTTCTGAGGTGAACTCAGCCCACACCCCAGGCAGATGGAACGATGATCTCGTGGCAAACAGCTGGAGCCCACCACTGCAGGCCCCGAGCCCTGTGCCAGCCCCGCCTGTCCCAGCAAAGGGGCCTTGGGGTTGACACAGCCAGTGCCAAGCCAGATGGGGCCGCGGCCAACTTTCCAGTCAACCCAGATGTCTGTCTTCCTCAGACGCAAACTCAAAAATGTGGCCTCAATCAAAGTGGCTTTTGAAAGCCGTGTGTTCTCCAGACTCTGGCAGGGGAACTGAAGAAGCTCTGAGCTACAACCTTTGCTAAATCCCAACGGATCAGGAGGACACGGCTCAGGCTAAGTCCTGGGAGGTCATTTGGGCATGCACCGCATCCGTCACTTGGAGTGAAGGCAGGAGAGGGGAACCGTGGTCTAAGCCAACTCTCTGAGCCACCTCTCCATGGAATGGGGCTCTGTAGAATCTTCTGGAATCTTCTGTGCCATGCAACTGAGACTTCAAGGCAGTCCTTCTCCATGTTAGAAATAGTGGCATGCTTCAAGGACCATCTTGAGCAGTCCAACACAGAGCCTCAAAAGCCAAAAGGTGGCCGGGCGCGGTGGCTCACGCCTGTAATCCTAGCACTCTGGGAGGCCGAGGTGGGTGGATTGTTTGAGCTCAGGAGTTCGAGACCAGCCTGAGCAAGAGCGAGACCCTGTTTCTACCAAAAATAGAAAGAAATTAATTGGACAGCTAAAAATATATAGAAAAAACTAGCCGGGCATGGTGGCACATGCCTGTAGTCCCAGCTACTCGGGAGGCTGAGGCAGAAGGATTGCTTGAGCCCAGGAGTTTGAGGTTGCTGCGAGCTAGGCTGACGCCATGGCACTCTAGCCTGGGCAACAAAGTGAGACTCTGTCTCAAAAAAAAAAAAAAAAAGCCAAAAGGTGTTTGGGGGAAAGCCATGCAGTCGTGTGGTTCGCAGGCTACTCACTGTGTCCCTCCCATCACCTCGTTGGGAGTGACAGAGGCTTCCCCAAGAGGCATAGCCCCATTTTATCAGAGGATAAACAGGGGCTCGGAGAGGCAAAGCCACGAGGGCAGAGGATGTTCTAGAACCCAGAAGTCCCGCCTGTCTTGCCAGCCACCCCCAAACCCACCCCAGCAGCCTGTCTTTCCTTCCTCTGCTTCCTGTGCAGGTGCTCGCTTGCCATGCCTGCTGAGAGAAGCACCCCACCCCAGCCCCAGGCTCGGGTGTGGAGCTGGGTGCCTGGCACCCTGTCAACACAAACAAGGTTCCCCAGCGTCTTGCCCTTTCTCTATACAATGCCAGCTGCACTTTTATGTGTTTTAAATGTTTATGTTGCCCTAGTCTTTGTTATTTCTTGCTCGGCGTGCTGGAATGTTTGACATTCCAGGGTCTGTACCCTGGTGCCCAGCTTGCTGAGATGTGCTGAACACGTGGAGGAGGGGTGGGGACAAAGGCTGAGCCTTGGATGTGTGTGTGTGTGTGGCGGGGGTACAGTGGGTGTTCTGCACCCACATGTGCATGTGGGAGCAACTGACCCACGGAGCTCTGCTGCCATACCCACCGCCACTGGGCTCCAGGCCCTGCCCGAACAAAGCGAACCAGCTCTGTTGGGAGCAGGGTCCTTGGGCATCAGCTGGGCTGAGCTCTTGAGGCTGGCACACAGGTGGGACCAGGAGTGGGGCAGGTGGGTGGGTAGGCAGCCCCCAAACTCTGGCCTTTTCTCCTGTTCCCATCCTTCCAAGTGAGGACTCCTCCACACCCAAAACTGATTCCAAGATCTGGGTTCATGGTCGCTGTGCCTGTCAGCCCTGGCTGAGGGGGGTGGGCCCAGGATCCTCCATGGACAGCAGCCATCCCTGGCATGGATCTCACGGCCTGGGTCTCTGCATCCCAATAGGCTCTGCTGCTCTGGACAGGCAGGGCTCTGTGCTCCCACTCTCTGCTGAAATCCTGTAAGTGCTGGATATGACGTTTAAATGAAGAATCCAGAGTGGCTTCACTTTCATTCCCACTAATGTCGCCTGATAGGTCTCTGGCCACTAACACCGCTGTCAAGTTGGCCTAGTGAATCAAAGAGGGGATACTGACCCCAGGGACCCTGCAGGACCCTAAGTGCTGTGCCCCCACCCAGAGGCTGCATCTCAAGGGCTCAGGACCATGCCTGGTGGCCAAACCTCAGATACCTTAGTGCCTGAAAACTTTCCCAGAGGGAAGGTTCCAAGAGGGGCCCAGACCTCAGCTGTGAGGAAGACAGGAGGTTGAACCCAGCAGTGAAGCAGGATCCTCGGGAGGCCCCTTCCAGAACCCTGTTTCTCAGTTGCATCGCTCCACTCCATTCCTGTGCCACCCACAGCTGTCGGCAGCTGAGCCCACTCTTCGCTTCATTGTTTCGCAGACTCCGGATGCAACACCACGACAGCTTCCAGGCCCCGAGACAAGGAGAAAATTCTGAGGCTACTCTTGAATTGCCACTTGGATGAAACCTCACTGCGCCCACCCAGAGAAGCCCGCTCCCTCCCAGGACAGCCCTACTGGGTCAGGAGGTCTCCAGAAAGGTGAGCACCTCAGTCAGCAGCAGCAGGTATTGGATGCCCCTCAGAGGGCTGATGAGGGACGGGGGAGAGACTCCGCCCGCTTGTCTGAATGAGCCAGCTCTTGGGAACCAGAACCTGCCCAGACAAGGGGCTTAGAAGCCCTGACTCCACCTAACACTTCTGACATGCCTGCTTTCCTGCAGGACAGCCAGGGCTGGGCAAGGCCTAGCAAGAGGCACACTGCGCTCCGGAAAATGTCGTTTCCTCTCTTGGCCTCACCTGCATATGCAATTTCCTTGAGTTGTTAAACTCTTCCCCACCTCTCTGACTGTCTTACCCCTAATCATTCTTGGAGACTCATCTTGGGTATCACCTTCTCTAAGGAGCTTGCTCTGATCCATCAGCTTGAGCTAGGGCCCCCGTCCCATGGTGCCTAGATGTAGAGGTTGTGCACTGCACAAAAGCACCACATCTAAAGGAATCATTGGCATCCTACGTCTGTGTATTTATGAAGATGGTTCAGAACAAATGGAAGGGGCATCTTTTTCCAGTTTGCACAAAGGTGCTACAGGACCAACGAGTGGCCCGGGTTCTGCTGCTTGTGTCCACACGGCACTCAGCACTTGCCTCGTCACTGCACTAGCCTCTCTATTTCTGAGGCCCCCCCAGCTGTCTATGGCCCCCCACTAGACTGTAAGCTTGGAGAGGGGAGGCACTGTTTTGACCCCATTCTCCGCTGTCTGTTCAGGGCAGGGCTTGCACACTATAGGTACTTCAGATGGGGGCTTGGCCAACGTAAATATTTGCTGACTGAATAGAATGTGGGATATAGAAGTTTCAAGGGTCTGCCTGACGAGAAGGAGAAAGGCAAACAAGGAAAGAAAAAAAGCAGCAGAAACATCTTTGGCCTGCAGGGAGATGCTGAGCAGTTAGTTCAAAGTACACCTGGTGGGGCATTTGCTTTTCCCTTTCTCGAGGGGTACTTTCTAACAACAACAGTGATGATAACAGTCATAGCTACAGTGTATTGACCTAACGCTGAGCACATGCATCGTCTCATTTAATCTCCATGGCAGCCCTGCGAGGCTGGCACTCTTACTGTTTCCATTTCACAGATCAGGAGACTGAGGCAGAGCTGGGACTGGTACTTGGTATGTGCTGGATACTTAAGCCTGGGAGCTGAATCCTACCGTTTGCTGCTTCACCAAAAATTCTGTCACACTGTGAAACCGTCTGCACTTATTTTTACTTTGGAAAATGTAGTCACTGCCCCACAGCTGAGTCGGATGTTGGGAACAGTCCAGCCCCTCCCCAAAGCCGACTCACCAAGCCGACTGCTGACAGGCAAAGAAATACGCACCAGTCCTAGGCCCAGGAGTGAGGCGTGGAGGGGGAGACAGACCAACAGGCAGAGCCATGCTCAGGCACAAGCACCTGGCCGCCCCCTCCCAACTGCAAGACCAAGACCTATGAGAACAGCATGAATGGGCATTTTGCTCGCTCCTGAACCCTCTGTGCTTGGCACACATGAGGCACCTGGTGAGTAGTTGCTGAATGAATGAATATATGTTAGGTTTTTCCCACCATCCAAAAGAGGGCAAGAAACTGGGCTTCCCATACCCCAAGGCTAAAGACATTCTGGGACAGACATTCAAGGACAGAGAGGGTTAGGAGGAGGCCTGGGGGCCCCACCAGGGAGAGAATGAGGGAAACACTGAGTCACCACGTCAAGACCTCCAGGCCCCTGACACCTGGGCAGGAGTGTATATGGGGACACCAGATGGGACCCCTAAAATCTGAGCAAGAACCACGGCAAGAGGGAGCAGACCTTCACAGGCAAGCAGATGGAGCGGGGGACCAGGCTGCACCAGCAGTGGCGGGAGCCGGCTGAGCTGCTGGGAGCCTGGGGTGCCAGCCACAAACCCCTCAAGGCAGGTCTGGGAAGTCCGCACAGTTTACCGGCCTGTCCTAGCTGCCCGGCCTCTGAAACCCTGGAGGGGAAACCCTGGCAGCAGAGGCCAGGCCCTGGGAGAGCTTCCCCCACAGTCACCCAGCACTCACCTGGTCTGGGCGGGCATGGGACACACGAGGTCACCCCCCAGAAGGCTCCCACACTGCCGCAGCAGTCCTCTTGGGCAGTCAGCTCCAGCAGAGGGTTGGCACACTGGAAAAGGGGTCACGGACACCTGTGACCCTCCCTTCTCCCCCCGCTGTGCACAGATGTCCCAGGAAAGCCTGGGACACAGAGCTCACTCCCCACATTCTGCCACAGGATACCCCCACCCAAAGGAGGGGAGAAGGGAGTCAGCCAATGGCCTGGAAGAGGGTAGAGAAATCTGCAGTCCACTCTGCCAGACCCCAACCTTTGTGTTTGCAGGTGGGACACCCCAGACACAAGATCTGCCCTGTGCTAGTCTGCAAACCACCACCCTCCACAGATTCAGCTCATAGACAGAGGGTCCCAGAGGACAGGTTTCCTCTGTGGAACTCTAGGGTCACCCACCGTGTGGGCCCCCCTGTGCATAGAGCCTCAGGCTCAGGGACGCCACAAGCTGGGAGACCAGGGAGGATCTGGGAACTTGGGGTCCTTATTCCTTAGCTATCTTACCTCCTCCAGTTCCCTTGCCTCAGAAGGGGTTTCTGGAAACACTAAACTGCAGCCCCAAGAAAAACCATCCTGGGTCTGGTGTAACCTCTATTCTTGGGTGCCTGGCCTCAGAAAGCTCACTTGACTTCCCACGTGAACTGTGGATGCCTCCAGTGGGGGAGGGAGGGCTTCTCATCCTTATACCGCCCGGGCTTTGGGGTGTAACTTCCATTTGCTAATTCCACTTCTCTCGACCTCAGTCTCAATTGGATCCTAACAGCCCTACTGTCTGTGCACTGGGAGATCCTAGGCTCGGCTCCCAGAGAGCCCAGGATTTAGCGGGACGAAGCTCTAGGCTGTCTTCGCCTGAGGATGCTGGTGACAGCTCCTCCAGAGGGGATCTTCCCGGGGTCCTGTTCCGCATGCCTGGTAGGAGGCCCGGCCTCCCCATACTTGGGCAATTTTCTGCCCTGGGTTTTCCCACCTGGAAAGTGGGAGACTCTGCAGACACTCACATTCCATAAGAACATGGAGGAGAGCGAGCAGGAGAAGGTGGAGTGGGGGCAATTGCTGTTCTGGAAGGCTCCAGGGCTGAGGCACGAGCTGCTTTCTCACCTGTCCATTCACAGCACCCAGGTAACACCGGCCCAGCAGCCCCCGAAGCCTGGGTGCCGTGGGGGGCAATGGCCGAGGGGACTCTCCAGGCCAAGCAGGGATGCTGTTGCTGTCCGAGAGGCTGTGGCCAGGGCTGGCGGGGAGCCGGGGTGGGGGTCTGGTCTCCACGCTGTTCTCCTCCAGGGCCTCCGCCTCAGCCCGCACCCGTGCCACCTGGTGGATCTGCACGGAGGCCTCGGGCGGGTGGTGAATGTGCACCTTCACCAAGGAGGGGTTCACAGAGGCTGGGCACAGGGGCTGGGTTAGAGCCAGGGAAGTGGGGCCCCACCCTCACTTCCCCACCCTCTGAGATGCGCCTACCAGCCCTGGGCTAGGAGGGCCACTGGCTGTGTGTCTCCCCAAAAGTCTCCCTCCATTTCTTTGCTCCCTACTTGGAGCCCCAGAACAACTCCTCTGTGAGGATGGGATGAAGCACAAGCTCCTTCCCTGAAGAACCCTCATGGTCAAGCCCCAGACCACCTTCCCTCCGCGCCCCTGTACAACCCCCGAGCTCCAGCCCATGGACCCCGCCTGGTCCCACCTCCGCGCCTTCGCCTGCGCCAGCCCCTCTGCTTGACCACATGCCACCCATTGTTTAGAGCCTGACCGCAGTTCATCCCCTCCACTAGCCTCCCCAGAGCGCTCCCAGCCTGGGGGCCTCTCCATCCCCGGACCTCCTAGAGAATTCATGCTTTTTCTTCCCCATGGCATCCAGCACAGGGTTAGGGCAAAAACATGTGGATGAATTCAGATGGGAGTGGAAAGAGAAGTTCAGGGGATGAAACTGAGAGCCAGAGAGAGGGAGGTTTCACTGTAAAGGGATGGCTGGAGACAGTTCCCGGTCCCCGGCACAGCAACAGTGGCCGGTGACTGTATCCACCTGACTGGCGCTCCCCCCAGTCCCGGCTGTGCCGGCACTCACCGAGCTGGTTGGAGAGAGGCAATGTGAAGGTGGACTGCTTCAAAGGGCCTTCCAGCAGGGCCCCGTGGCGGGAGCCCCTCCCTGGAGGCTCCTTGTCCAGCTGCGGGACAGGCAGGTGGCAGAACTTCCCGGTGGAGTTGGTAGGGCACCAGCACTCGTCCCTGCCGATGCAGCGGCCTCCATTCAAGCAGGGGATCTGGCAGAAATCTGCAACATTGGCCCTCAGGGTAACGGGTGGCGGAAGAACAGCAGCACCCACCATGTGGCCGGCCAGTGACAGCAGAGAAACAGGGGCAGCAGGACCCCAAATCTGGACGGCGTGTGTAGCCCAGAACCCCCTGAAATGCAGGGATTGTCCACGAAGCCCAGGGGTGAAGCAGGGGAGATAATAACTAGCTCTTGCCTTTCTAAAAAGCCCTTTCATGCCTTTCCCTGTCCCCAGCGACAGCCTGGGAGATAGGGTGGTGGCATTGTTATGAACTCCCTCACTTCTCTGTTGAGGAAATGGACTCGGAGAGGTTACGTGGCTCCCAGAGTCACACAGCTAGGCTACGACAGAGCTGGGTGGGGACTCAGCTCTTCGCGTGATTTGGGACAACTCATGGAGCTACAGCACAAGAGCAGTGGGCTTGAATTCAAGGCAGCCCTGGTCCTCTGGCCACCCACCCACCCAGGGCCAGCTGGGACCCCACTGAGGGGCGAGGGACTCACATATGCGGAAGCCAGACTTGGGGTCGTGCCCATGGCCTCCCTGGCTGTACAGGGTGGTGGTATCACCCCGCTCACAGCTGTTGGCACAGTGCCCTCGGGCACAGGTCTGCTTGCAGATGGTGGGAGTGAAGACGATCTTGATCTTCTTGATTTTCTCTGTGAGGTTCAGCCCTGCAGAGAGAGGGCTTGGGTCCAGGGGGCAGGGCTGAGAGGCACAGCCATGACCGCCAGAGCCTGGTTAGAAAGGCCCACGGGACTAGGGGTGCGTCCATCCTGAGGGCATTTGCTGAACACCTACGGGATGCAAGGCCCCATGGTGGGGGCAGGGTGATACCTTTGAGAAGCTCACAGATGTGCCAGCCACCAAGCTCATGCTCCATGCGCAATAACTCAGCCCTCTTCAGTGGGTATTACTTTATATTGAACCCTTGGAAATTGCCATTTTTGCAGGCTGCTATGGCAGAGTTTGGGCAATTTTCATATGTCCAACCTCATATTTCCATTTTACAGTTAAGGAAACAGGCTCAGAGAAGTTTGGGTTGACCCAAGCAACACAGCTAGCAAGTGCTGCGGCGGGACTTTGAACTCAAGGGCAGGGAATGGATTGCAGCCCAGGCTTGCCAGAGGGGAGAGTTTTCTAAGAGAAGCAGAGGAAGATAAAGCCTGGAAGAAGGATTAGAGACAGATTCCGGGGGCCTGACTACCAGAACAAGGATCAGGCAGGGTAGTGGAGAAGCCATCGTCAGCAAGATGTCCTCCCGCTGTGAGGTGCAGGGTGGGCCAGTAGGCAGGGTGACCAGCTGGGAGGTCATGGCTGCAGCGTGAGCTGAGGTCACCTCATTTAATGAGGGTGGTAGCAGTGGAATTGCAAAGGAAGATATTAATTCAGTAGGGGGAGCCGGGCGAGGGGAGCTGGAAGGCAGAGGGTTGAGGAAGGAAGGAGAGAGGAGGAAGTGGAAAAAGTATATGCGGACCATGGGTTCAAGAAGCTTGACTGTGAGGGGAAAAGATAGAGAGGAAGCCAGAGGAAGCAGAGAAACAACTCTGTGTGCATATGCGTGAGTGTGTGTGTGTGTGTGTGTGTGTGTGTGTGTGTGGTGTTACTGGGAAAGCTGGAAGCAAGTGTATGTGTTGAAGGGAAAGGGCAGAGAGGAACAGGTTGAAGACACAGAAGGTGGGGGTGATACCTAGCATTCCAGAAGACACAAAAAGGGTGCAGGGGTGTGCCTTACACAAGGGGTACGCCTCCCCTTCAAGATGGCAAAAAAGGAGGTCATCAACCGTAAAAAGGAATGAAGGACTAATCATGGTGCAACATGGATAAACCCCCAAAACGTTATGCTGAGTGAGAGCAGCCAGGCACAACAAGACAACACGTTGTATGATTCCACTGTGTGAAATGTACAAGACATGTAAATCCACTGAAAGTAGATCAGTGGTTACCAGGGGCTGGGGGGACAGGGGACGAGGGAGTGACAGTTTAATGGAGTGATGAAAATGTGGAATCAAATACTGGTGATCGTTGCACGAAATTGTGAATATACTAAAAACCACTGAAGTACATGCTTTAAAATGGTTCATTTTACGTTACGTGAATTTCATCTCAATGTTTAAAATGCTCGGGCGCAGATTCAGCTAAGGGAGTGGTGTGCATGGGTTGAGGAGCTCCCTGGGAGGTGGGGGGCGCGTCCGTGGGCTGATGGATGGGAGCTTGGGAAAGTGGGGGAGGCCCGGAGTAGCTGCTCTGAGGGCTGGAGGGAGAAAATGTCCAGGCACACGAGGAAGGGATGCTCGGCGACCACAAAGAGTGTGCCATGGTGTGAGTCCACGAGATAGTTCCGTCCGTGGGCGGCAGCGGCGCAGCTGTAGGTGCTGAGGAAACGATTGGTTGGGTTGGGTTGATCCGGGAGGGCTGGCGTTTGCAGGAAGGAGGAGGTAGAAAGAAGGAGGAGTTGAGGTTCAAGGCTGGATATGAAGGAAGTGGAGGCAAGAGGGGAGGACAGACTGGACAGAAGTAGAACAGTCAAGGGTCAGTCAAGGGTCACAACAAGGACAAAGTCCAGATCAGCTGGTTCGGCCCCCGCCTCCTGGGGCCTGGCACAAAGCAGGTGCTCAGTGAGTGTTTGTTGATTGGCTGGAAGAATGAGGGACAAGGTGACAGCTCAGCCCCTCTGTGAGACCGGAGGGGGAAGCAGAGATTTAGAAGCCCAGCTCTTCTAGGACCCAAGATAGGGCACCCTTACCCCAGGGGGATGAAAGGTAGTCCAGACCCTGCTGGGTGCCATCTCTCTGCTCAAGGCCTGGTCCCGAGGGCAGGGCGTTGGAAGTCAGCTGGCCACCGGCTGCCACAGTGGGATAAAGTCGGACGGTCCGGGACAGTCCCACATGCTGCTGGGAGGGGCGGATCTGGCTCAGCCCACTCAAAGTCCTGTGGAGACAACCAAGGCACGGGGGTTTGCATCCCTGAACACCATCTCTGTGCCATCCCTCAGCTGGCTAACTCTGTAGAAATACCTACCCCTGTGTGGGATAGCCAGGCTTTTGCTGGGTTATTCTGGGCAAGTCACTTAGCCTCTCTGGGCCTCAGGACCCTTGACTGCAAAATGAAGGTGCTAGACTGTTCCCATGTAGCTCTGACATTGAGTCTTTGGGAGCCCCTGCCCTACAACCAGGTCCCGTGCCCAACCCCCATCACTTCCTAATACAACCCTTAACATGAATAACCTGTGGAATAGGTCCCAACAAATACACACTCACATTGACTCAGGGGTGGAGCCTAGACTCTCCCTCTTACTCGTTTGTTTGTTTGCTTGTTTGAGATGGGGTCTTGCTATGTTGCCCAGACTGGTCTTGAGCTCCTGGCTTCAAGCAACCCTCCCGCCAAGGCCTCCCAAAGTGCTGGGATTACAGGGGTGAGCTAATTTATTTTTATTGTAAGAATAATATAACAAAAACATGAATTCATCATCCCCCGCTGCAACACAGCAAATACTTTTGCCTGTTTTAACCTTTGCTCACATATATGATTTTACCGTATTGTCATCACTTATAAATACAATTTAAATTCTGATTTTTCACTCAACATTGGATCACACTTTATACAATTCCATTTTTCTTATTTGTCATGTTCATTGCTACATCATAGTCTATCTGAAGATAAATCACAACTTATTCAGACATTCTCCTGTCACATACTTGGATTTTTAAAAATTTTTAACTGTGGACATCCCTACCCATATGGTAAGGATTTAATATTCTATTAAAATATACCTTTAGTATAGGGGAATTCATCATACTATTCTATTTTATTCTGTGCTGAGTCTTGCTTGTAAATGTTTTATAAGAAAGATTTGAAAGGATTATTACTTTAGGATGAATTCCTTGGACTAGAGTGACTACATCAAAGGTTATAAACATTTATGTTCTAGGTACGCACTGGTATATTGCTCTCTGAAAGGGTTGCATCAAAATGTATAAATGGACCACTTAGAGCACAACCTTGTCAGCATAGCCTATTATTAATTTTTATACTTTGCTGATTCTGAATAAGCATAATAAAGTGGTACTTCAATGTTGCTTTCACCTCCCCCTCATCTTTTTTTCCAACCTACTTCTGAGGTTGAAATGTTTTCAGGTATCTATTTACCACTTGTGAAAAGTCTCTGCTCACGTCCTTCGACATCTTAACTATTTAAGTTGCCTCGTAGATTTCAACACATTCCTTTTGTTTACTATTGGGCAGGCTGCTCTAAAAGGCAGCCTCCATTGTAAATACCGTCCTTGTTGAAATGTCTACGATCCACTGCATAGACGACAGTGTCTGGACTGTGGTGGGTGTGAGGGTATTGTGGACATTGAAGCTGAGAGGGCTTCAGTCCTTGCCCGAAGCTAAATTGGGGTCCCACCATGCCAACCCAGGGCGGCCTGACTTGAAAGCCTGTGTTCTGTGCCACCCAACAAACCAGCCCAGACCGCAATCGAGGCTCAGCCTGGAAGCCTTCCCCAGTAGGTCCCATGCCCAGTATCCCCACTGGATTCCCTGCCCAAGTGGGGTGAGGTCCTGCCACACTTTCCTTCCTCCGTCCCCACCCCAGTTCTGTTGGCCCTGGGTACCCAGGCCATGAGCAAACTCCTTCTCATCCGTTCCTAGCAGAAGCCAAACAAGGAGAGAGGTCAGGGCCTGGCCACCCCAGCCACTTCAGCACCTGCCCAGCCCTTCCCCAGTGCCCTTGGCTCAGGACTGGACTCCCATGAACGTTAATGCTGCTCTTCCTCCTGGTTCTATCAGCAACGAATCCTTACCCTGATGGGCCCCAGCCAGACCTCACCCTACTGTCTGAATTTGAGGGCTGGAGTAGGAGGGAGATCCTGTTAGCCACCCCAGAAGCTCTGGGAGCTGTTATGGGCCAGAACTGGGAACCCAAACCTCAGGCATCTAGTCTTCATTCCCAGGAGAAGGCTGGCACAGCCAGCTGCAGCAGAAAGGACAATACTTCCAAGAGCTTCTGAGAGAGTGCTCGAGAGAGGTGGCGAGCTGGCCGGTCACTGGCAGCCTCCCCCTGGGATACCAGGCTGGTGCCCTGCTCAGGTTAGAGCAGCACCACAAAGCATTCTAGAGAAGCGAAAAGGGTAGCTCATGTTCTGCCCAGACCATCTGCTGCTTTTTTGAACTTGACCCTGACAAAGAGCTCTCCAATCTGGACAAAATGAAAACTCTGGATTCTTTCTCTGTGTCTTCTTGTCATTGTAATGTTATCATTGCTGTCACTTGTTTCTGTAATTGGCACTGAATGCTAATGGAAACCAAGATTCCAGAGTTCAAATCCCTTAAGGGCCAGTTGGTTAGCTTTGCAGAGAAGAAAACCAAATAAACAAACCATGCATTCCCTAGTTGTAGACAGGATCGGGCTGTACAGAGGATAGAGGCTGGGATTTGGGCCAGACAGAGGTCAGTTCTGCCTCTTACTAGCAGTGTGGGCTCGAGCAAATCACTTAGTGCCCCTGCGCTGCAGACTCCTCATTAGCAAAACGAGCATAGCAATACCTACCTCACTGGGCTGCTGTGAGGACTAAGAGAACAGTGAGACCATGAGATTATTTTGCAAATATAAGTAAATGGTCACACTATGCCAGAATTTTAAAATCACATGAGTGAAGGGGAAAAAAGGGCTTGGCTATAGTTCATACTAAGTACTTCTCCCCAGGCAAATAAGAAAATGTGAGGAAGTCACTTAAATTCTTCTTCATCTAAGAGAGATAAAAAGACTCCAAAAAAAAAAAAAAAACTTGTTATTGTTATCCAGTGTCCTTATATCTAAAGGGTCAAGTGCCTAATCTGATGTCAACACATTTTTAACAACCAGAGTCCTCTGAGCCCAATTCATTGTCATCTACTGTTGTGATGGATATTTGGGGTTAAATGACAGAAATTTAAGAGCCCTGCCTTCTGAAAGGCTCACAGCAGTGTAAAGAAGGACACCTCTATTCTTTGACAGGTCCTACGTCTTATACAAAAAGCAGCTAAATAAGGACACTGCTTCCTTCCTTCATAAACGCTAGCCTAGTCCTTAGAGCTGGGCAGGGCTGCAGGCTCTTGGCTCCTGCTGGTCTCCAGCTGGGTGCCACTGCCCTCACCGCTTACTTAGAAGGGCACAGGCAGCTAGGATGCAGTGGAGATCATGGACTGTGGAGTCTGTAAGCCCAAATCGTCTGGCCTTGTGTTATCTCTGTGCTCATCGCCCTTAAACAAATCACAAGCCCTTAGCCAAGTCCTGGCTCTGTGTCCCATCCTAGTCTGAGTTAGGTTGTGGCCATCAACAGAAGGGTCTGGCACCATGTTTGGACCAGTGGTCCAAAAAAGCAGTGTCCCCCTTACAGACAACAGAGCAGTGGCAAGAGGGACAAATGAAAGCCTCAATGAGAAGGGGACTTTCTTAAACAACTGCCCCTGGGAGAGGCTCCATCTACTATCAGTCCTGGAAGAGCCACTGCAATTTCATCAAAGGACAGCGGTTGCCAAGCTCACCTGGCATGAGAATGGAACTCATCATCTCTCTGGGATTATTCCAGGGAAGTCCTGGCAAAGCTGCCACAGTGGACTAAAACAGCCATCTCTAGACTTCAAGATTTTGTGGATCAGTAAAATTTTGAAACAAATTGGGGGGGGGGCAATGTAAAATTGCTGACTTTTTAGTTAGGGAGGGAAGATATTAAAACACACACACGCACAACTATCAATTATTGCCACCATAATGCCATGAAAGAAAAGACATTTCAATGCCCAAAGGAAACATTTGAATAAGCTTGACTTTGTGTAAATCTCACATTGACTTTACTGTCTTCATTTCTTTATGGACCATAAAAAATCCATCACAGACCAGCACCAAGCCAAGAGAGAGCCATTGGATCCACTAAAGTCTGTTCTCGCCTGAGGATCAGAATCTTCTCTTTCAACCAAATGGGGGGGTGTGGGGGTGGGAATTCCCATCCCAGTTGGCTGGGATCTTCAGACCCACGCGAAAACTGCCTGGGCAGTTTGTACCCGTAATGGTACCACTCCGTTAAATGGGCAGGGTGTGCTATGACCCTGCCTGACATGCCAAGGTTTCTAAACAGCAATGGGGAGACAAATGGGTGAGGGACTCCATGCCCTCCATCCCCATCCAATTTCACCCCAGCCTGGTGGCCTCACTCTGATTTATAGATTGGGCTTCTAAATACAGTTGGCCCTTTGTATCCATGGATTCTGCATACACAGATTTAACCTACCCTGGATCCAAAATATTAGGAAAAAAATAATAAAAAATAACCATGGTAAAAATAATACAAAGTTTAAAACCAATACGGTATAATGACAATTAATATTTATATAGCATTTACATTGTATTAGGTATTACAAGTAATCTAGAGTTGCAGTCCCTAACCCCTGGGCCCCGGTCTGTTAGGAACTGGGCGGCATATCACCACCTGAGTTCCACTCACCATCTCTCCCACCAGCCCTCTCCTCACTCCCCATCTGTGGAAAAATCGTCTTCCTTTAAACTTAGAAACTGGGCCACACAGAAGGAGGTGAGTGGCAGTCAAACAAGTGAAGCGTCATCTCTATTTACAGCCGCTCCCCATCGCTCTCATCACTACCTGAGCTCCACTTCCTAACCCACCCACCCCCCATCAACCATGGAAAAACTGTCTTCCATGAAACTAGTCCCTGGTGCCAAAAAGGTTGGGGACCACTGATCTAGAGGATTTAACGTATGCAGGAGGATGTTCATAGGTTCTAAGCAAATACTACATTGTTTTACATAAAAGACTTGAGCATCTGTGGATTTTGGTATCCTCGGGGGTTCTGGAACCAATCCCCCATGGATACTGAGGTACAACTATACTATTTTGTTTGAAAATGGTCTTACTGCTAAAAGAAAGTTTAAA